TTACATTTCTGGTTTATCCTGTCACTTCAGAGCCTGTTATGTAATGACACATATGCTATAGTTACTGCAATGTGCTTCATAATGCTGCAGGTCATCGACATCTTGTTTTTGTATTTATTATTATTTACTGATTGGTTGTAATCCTTGGCACTGGTAAAAAAACAAAACAAAAAGACCCAACAATTTATTAAGCTCCTGACATAGACCAAGCATAAAAGTTTAAGAAAATTTAGAAATTTACTACTAATCTGCAGATTAGAAATGTGAATCAGGAAAGAGAACCAGCTACAGTGATGAATAAGTGAAGGTCCCATTCTAAAGAAGAGTATAGAAGATGGTAACAAAAATCCTAATTCCTCAAGGATTTCTATGTGGAGTTTATTGGTGGAATAAAGCTGTAGGGCAAAAATACTGGAGTGATTAAATTTAAATATCAAATAAAATTATAAAATGTAAAATGGGAAAGAGGAGGTAGAATGTTTGTTGCAACAACTCAATGCAGTTTTGTGTGAAATCCTGCTCATATTTCACTTAAAAAAAATTTTTTCCCTCTAAAATTAAACTTTTCGTCTGAGAACTTTAAAGACTATAAAGAGTTTTTGGCAGATTGTCACTCGTTTGTAGAAGAGAGAAAGGAAGAGTAAAAATCCCTTGTTGGACCCAGGTGCCACAAGTACTCCTGTTCTTCCTGCTCAGAGTGTGACTCAGGCTGTGGTGGGAAGTACAAGCAGCGGCTACTTCTTGCCTGACCCTTCCACTCCAGCCCCGTCCTGTGCAAGTGGGAGGGGATTGGCTAGAGTTACTGGCTAGGTGCATAGCTGGGAGTGAGCTGCTCCATGAAACAAGTGAAGTAACTTCCTCCCTCCCCAGAGCAATGGGGGACCACGGGGGAGGAACATTGACAGAATTCATTCTCTGGTCCTCTCGTGGGACATAGCTACATGCTACTCCTCACAAAGGGCAGATTGTAACATCACACTCTTACTCTTAATGAATTTGCAGGGTAAAACTATTGTAATTTTGGCTTTAAGTGAGGGTCAGATTTTGACAGGTACTGAAGATACTGAAGTTGGTGGGAGTTGAGGGAATTTGGCACCTCAGCAAGACACTGTAAGATACCAAGTTAAATTAAATCCCTTTAATGATGAACTAGACCCTTTCTCTAGTTCAGGGATTCTCAAACTGGGGGTCAGGACCCCTCAGGGTGGTGAGGTTATGACCTGGGGGGTTATGGGCTGTTAACCTCCACCCCAAACCCTGCTTTACCTCCAGCATTTATAATAATGTTAAATATGTTTTAAAAAGTGTTTTTAATTTAGAAGGGGGGGGTCACACTCAGAGGCTTGCTGTGTGAAAGGGGTCACCACTACAGAAGTTTGAGAACCACTGCTCTACTTCATCATTAAAGGATATATCAAGATTTCTAAGTCTGAAAACTGAGCTACCTTAAAATTGTTAGGGGCTTAGTCCTCCACATTTGAAACTTATTTCCTTGTCTGTTTTTATTTTAAATATACCATGTATTGTTGGGAGGGGGTGAGGGTTATTTCGTAGGGTAAGCTGAAGCATTTACCCTTTGTAAGTGGATATTGGTTATTTTGATGCTCATTACCTGTAGCTGCATTTGCTTTAGTAAATGAAGAATGTTTTCAGTGCTGGAGATGGTGCCAGCCTGACAATCCTAGAGAGCAAGTCACAAAACAGTGGCAGTCCAGACAGGAGCTGGGCGAGCTGCTCCCAGTCTGCCTTGTCCAGTCCTGATGGTGGCGCTTCTCATGTGAGACCCCTGTCTAAAAGATCTCCGCTGAGACCGCCAGCTCATTCTGCTCAGAGTTCAGAGTAGGTACATAAACAGCCTGATGGTAATGACTCTTGGACACCACTGACCTGGGCTGGATTTGAACTGATGGCTTAGAAGTAAAACGCTCCATGGCCTATTACTGATTCCCAAGAATTGCCAGTGTTACGTTAAAGTTCAGATTTTTTTAAAAAAAGTATATGTAACACCTTGAATGTAAATGTTAAATCACACCACCTGTGGATGAGTTCCTCTGAAATTCCTAAGGTACCTCTGACTATTTCTGAACCTGTTGCAACTGGGGCAAACATACTAGATCAGGGGTCGGCAACCTTTCAGAAGTGGTGAGCTGAGTCTTCATTTATTCAGATTTCGCGTGCCCGTAATACATTTTAATGTTTTTAGAAGGTCTCTTTCTATAAGTCTATAATATATAACTAAACTATTGTTGTATGTAAAGTAAATAAGGTTTTCAAAATGTTTAAGAAGCTTCATTTAAAATTAAATTAAAATGCAGAGCCCCCTAAACCGGTGGCTAGGAACTGGGCAGTGGGAATGCCACTGAAAATCAGCTTGTGTGCCACCTTTAGCACACGTGCCACAGGTTGCATACCCCTCTACTAGATTATATGCAGGGTCTTTGTTTTTTTCTGTCTGCAATAACACTTGTATCAGTGCTAATAGATGTTCTCAGACAGTTCCGATACACAGAGGAGATCATCCCTTAAGTCTTGGGCAGACCCTCTCCTCCACTTACCCTGATTTTTTTTGCTTTAGAATAAAAGGTGAAAAAAGCCATTGTGGCAACCAGCATCAGCCAGCTGTGTGCGTGTCCCCGAGAAATGGGAGAGAAGGTTGGAGACAGAGCAGAGGGAAGAGGTACCACAGCTGGTGTGAGAAGCAGGGGGAGGCTGCACTACAGAAGGAGAGGTGGGAGAGGGAAAGAGGCAAGGCAGCTGTAGGGGAGTTCCTGGGGCAGAGTACACATCATCATGAAAGAAATCACCTGGGGTGGAAAGCAGAACAGCAGGAGAGGTGTGGTGGGGTGGGGGATGGGAAGAGAGCTGAATAAAGGAGCCTTGGTCAATAACCTGTGGTGCCTTTTTTGTTGTTGTTTTTGTCTATTTTTTAATTTGGGAGCAAACCCTTCAGACAACCAGCAAGAATCACCATATCTTGCTACAGTGATCTCTCCTGTGTGGATGTGCACCTGCATGCTTTTTATAATGAAACTGCATGAAATTAGCAAATTGCAAGTGATGAAGAAAGCTTCTTGGAGCAGAGCCCCTGGATTTGTTTAACACCAAGATTGGGGCCTGTAGGCACAATGCAATGCTG